CGGCCCCGTCCCCACCAAGGCCCGGGAGAAAGCCACATCCCCCGCTGCCCGCCCCTGCGCTGCCGCGAGGACCAGGAGCCGTGCGGGAACGAACGGCCACCCGCCGGGTCGGAAGTCTCGCCCCTCGGTCCTGCGCCGCCGCGGAGCGCTGCCTTCTGGGTAATGTAGTTCCGCCTTGCGACCGGCCAGGCTCTCTGCGCTGCGCTGACCCAGGACTGGGTAGGGGCTGGGGTGGGCCCTGGATTGGCGCCGGACTGGGGCCTTGGGCGTTCTTAAAGCGGCCATTTAATTTTTTTTTTTGAGAGATTTTGCTTTAGGGCACCTGTGCTCAACAGAGAGACACCCGGGAGTATGGCCACGCAATCCCTTCTCTGTTCTCCTCTCTGGACTTGGGCATGCACGCACGTGCCTCAGCGTGAGTTATGTCTCCCACCACAGTTGACCACGTGGGAGTCTAGGGCCTTGACCACTACACCAGCCTCTTTTTTTTTTTAAGAGTATTTCAGATACTCTTAAAGAAACAAGTGAGTGAGACCAGCAGGTGGCCTTGTGGTTAAGGTGCTAGACGCTCTCCCACATGGCTGACCATGGTTTGAGTCACGAACCTGGTTGCTTGCTTTTTCACATTCTCTCTGCCCCATCTCTGGTCACATTTTAAATAATAACAAGCGAATGAATAAATAAAAATTTAAAAGTGGGCATATTATATTGTAAATGTTTTTAAAAATTGCTATTATTTCTTAATTTGACTGGGAGAGAGCGAGAAAAAGAGAAGGAAAGTGGGATAGCAAGTTGCCAGGTCCGGAATTCGAACTGCAGTTGATGATGTGGGAGTCCAACACTCCAACCACCAGGACACCTACCAGCCCCTATATTGTAAAATTTTAAAACTTCCTATTGTTCTGTAACATTAATATCTGCACAAACCAGCTGCAAGCTTCCCACTCAGGCAACCAGGTGGTCTAGTGTGATAAGGCTGGTCCCTGCCACAACTTCCCCTTCTTGCCCGCTCAACAGTGACCCGCTGGAGCCGGAAGTGGAGTCCCTAGAGGTCTGCTGGCACTGTCCCTGGGAAACATCCCAAACTGAACTTTTGCAGAACTGCGGTGTGGAGCATCCCGGTACATAAGATAGGGGGCAGCACAGATGAGCCTATGAAACTTGGAGTATGCTCAGTAATACTGAGTCTAGTTGTTCCCAATTTTTAGCTATTTACATATCAAATTATTACATATCAAGGCTCAGCTGCTACATATGTGCTGAAGTGAAAGAGAAGGAGCCCAAAAATAAAAGCACACAGCACCGACCCTGGTGTCCATTCTCAGAGCCAGCCCACTCCCACCTTCAGGAGTACATTTACTCTCATTCCCCACTGCTTTGTATTTTTTTAAACCCCATTATAAAGCTTTGTTGTTCAGTCACATGTATCTCTTGGCTGAATTCTTTTTTCCAAGAAGACAAGAGCCCTGGAATAAATTCTTTCTTCTAAGAAAACAAGAGTTGTAAGTATTCTCTCCATGCTAACAGACCTACTGATACTCAGACCTGCAAAATCTCTTCATGACCTTTTACCTGTGAGAACCTAACCAAGGCATTTGCCACAGGTCCATAATCTTTGTGGGATCCCCACCTGCTTGGATAAGCCCTCTGTGCTCCTCCCATAGGTCCCTCTGGTGTGCCAGGCCAGGCCTACCTCTTCTAAGACTGGTGAGTGTAATAATTTCATATACGTCTCTGTATTAGAGTGATCTTTAAAAACCCAACTAAGGGGACCAGCAGGTGGCATGGTGGTTAAGTTGCTGGACACTCCCACATGGCCGACCAGGGTTCAAGTTCTGAATCTGGTGGCTTGCTTTCTCACTTCCTCTCTCTCACTCTCACTCTCTGTCTCTCTCTGGTCAAATTAAAAAATAAATGAATGAATAAATAAAATAAATAATTATTTAAAAACCCAACTAAGACATCTCCCCATTTACGGCATACGTAATTTCACTGATACAAGGTATGATCGCTCATAGTTGCAAACTAATAAGCACTGTGGTGCTGCTTTTCAGATACACAGCATACGTAATTTCACTGATACAAGGTATGATCGCTCATAGTTGCAAACTAATAAGCACTGTGATGCTGCTTTTCAGATACACAGCCGGAAGCTTGCTATCTGTTTTGAGAATGTCAGCATGTTGGGACAAAATTATGAGAGAAAAGGTTAACATAGAGCCATTCCCGGGATGCTGAATGAGAACTGCTGGGTGTCCCTGAGACAAGGGGACAAGAGTCAATTTTTCTCCATACATTTCTAAATAAATTTATGAAGTTCCTCAAAATGCTGTGTGGATTTATACAGGTAATTTAATTTACATAAAATGAGGGAGGTTTACTTTATAATTTTAAGCTTATGTCATTATCCAAATGTCCTTATATTGACTTTATTTTTAAATATATGTATTCCCTAAAAGGGCTTTTGTATTTCTTATGGTTTGTTTTGTTTGTTTGTTTTACATAAGGCGAATACTATCTTTAATAACTTTTTTTTTTTTTAGATAACTTTTCTTTTTTAAAAACATATTTTCTTGGGACTAGCAGATAGCATAATACATCTTGGATTCCATATATAGTCAATTGCAATTCACATTCCGAATCCAGAGCCTTAAAACTCACGCAAGGTGGGTGAGCATGCATGCCCCAAATCCTGAGAGAATAAAGGAGAAGGGATTGCAGCATAGCCATACCCCTGGGGAGTGATTTATCACCTTACGTCTCTGTGTCTCTCCAACAAGTGCACGCACCCTACAGCAAAAATCTCTCTCAAAAAATAAAATTTTCTTGAGGCCAGCAGATGGCACAGCAGTTACGTCACTGTACGCCCTCCCACATGGCCAACCATGATTCAAGTTCCATACCTGGTGGCCTGAAAATCACACTGGACACATGTGTGTGCATGCCCAAGATCCTGGGAGGAGAATGGAGGACAAGGCATTGTGGCATGGTCATCCTCCTTGGGGAGGGGGGGGGTGATTTCTCACTTTCCTTCTGTCTCTATCTTGCTCTTTCTCTTTGGTGAGCAGACATGCCCTAAGAGTGGGGGCTCTCTTAAAAAAAAATACATATAGGGGGCCAGCAGGTGGTGTGGTGGTTAAAGGCGCTGGATTCCTACATGATTACATCACTGGACTCCCATGTAGTTGACCAGTTTGAGTCTCGGTGTTGGAGACAGAAACCAGCCTGAGAGATAAGCCAGAAGGGAAGAATGCAGAACGGAGTTGAAAGCAACCCCATTCCAGATGGAATGCCGCAGGGACTGCATGGTCAACCGGATGGAGCTCCAGGCATGGGCTGTGTTTCAAGATGTTGGACATCATTCCACAAGCCAAGATGTTGTCTAAATACTAAGTTAATGACAGCTTTCAACCTTGTACCAGGAATATAACCTACAGAGAACGTCATGTATATTGCACATTATTCTTTATAGCTAAACTCACTCACTGCTTATCTGATTTAATGTGGAATAAGCAGGCTGTGCTCTGGCAGAGTTTTGCTTCTGTTCCAAGAGAGCTTTAGCCTCCTGCCTTATCCTTTTCTTTGTCTCTTTTCTCAATCCTTTGCCACACTCTACCTTCAAGCCCTGAATTTCTCACACCTTGGTCAAATTAACTAATAATAATAAAGTTAAATAATTCTTTTTTTAAAAAAAGAATTATCTATTCAATTTTATTTATTCATTTATTTATTTTAATTTGACCAGAGAGAGACATAGAAGAGGGAAAGTTGGAAAGTAAGCCACCAGATCCGGGACTCAAACCGTGGTCGGCCATGTGGGAGTGTC